GTATTGCTGGTTCAAACACTGGCTACTATGCTTCTAATCCAGCTCCCTCCTAGCATGCCTACAAAGTCAGCCGAAGACGGTCCAATTACTTGGGCTTCTGTCACCCATAGGGAAGGCCCAGATGGAGTTCCAGGCTCCTGGTTTTAGCCTTGATTGATCCTCGGCAGTGTGGCCTTTGGTGAGTGAACGAGGGAATGGAAAATATCCCCCCACTCTCCAAACCCTCTCTATCACTCTGCTTTTGACATAAATAAACACGTCTTCAAACATAAATCTTTAACCCCAGCGTTAGACAACTGACTGTGTAATAGACTGTTATATCCAAATGTGAAGTTTCAATGCAGTAGGCATCTCTACTTCCACATCAAAGATGGATTCCCAATGAAACTATTAAATATGTCTTGACAATAGAATGCTGAACTCTCTACCATTCTTCATACCTACTATGTCAGGATACACTTGACTAGCAGAATGACGGACTTCGGATTGTTTAGGAAGAACTATACTATTGTAACAATATAGGAGAAATCATCAAGGGTGCAGGAACTGAGGGAGGTGGGGGAAATTCCAAAGGTTATGGAACTGTATCATAAAATAACTAAATAACTAAATAACTAAATAAAGAAATAAGAAAGAAAGAATTGGGCCCAGCACGATAGTGTAGTGGTTAAAGTCCTCGCCTTAAATGTGTCAGGATCCCATATGGGCACCAATTCTAATCCCAGCTATTCCACTTTCCATCCAGCTCCCTGCTTGTGGCCTGGGAAAGCAGTCAAGTATGGCCAGAAGCCTTGGGACCCTGCACCCACGTGGGAGACCCAGAAGAGTCCCCAGGCTCCTGGCTTCAGATTGGCTCAGCACAGGCCGTTGTGGAGAATGAATCAGGAGACAGAAGATATTCTTCTCCGTCTCTCCTTCTCTCTATCTGACTTTCCAATAAAAACAAATAAATCTTTTTTTTTTTAATTAATTACTTATTGGGACTGACCCGATGGCTCAGTTTGTCTAATCTCTGCCTACAAGCCCTGCCATCTCACATATCTGCCAGTTCATGTCCCAGTTGTCCCACTACCCATTCAGCTCCCTGTTAATGGCCTGGAAAAGCAGAAGATGGCCCAAAGTCTTGGGACTCCACTCACCCATGGGAGACCTGGCAGGGGTTTCTGGCCCTGTGTTCAAATGGGCTCAGTCCCAACCACTGAGGCCATTCTGGAATGGAAGATCTTTCTGTCTGTTCATCTCTCTGTAGATCTGCCTTTCCAACAAAAATAAATCAATCTTAAGAAATATATATTTGAAAGTCTGTGTTGCAGAGAAAAGGAGAGACAGAGATCTTCCACCTGCTGATTCACTCCCCAGACGGTTGCCACAGCTGGGCTAGGCCAAGATGAAGTAAGAATTAGGAACTTCATTTGGCTTTCCCATGTGGGTGGCGGGGACACAAGCACTTGAGTCACTTTTCTGCTGCTTTTCCCAGGCCATTAGCAGCCAAGTGGTTTGGAAATGGAGCAGGAGGACATGAACTGACACCCATCTGGGATGCCAGTATTGCAGGCAACAGCTCTAACCCACTAACCCACAACACTGGTCCCTAGTCTCTAATCCTTAAGCATAGCAATAAATTACTTCCATGATTGGAATCCAACATTATTAGAAAAATCAAATAGCTGAGTGGGAATCAGTCCCATGAGTACTACAGTCCTTAATGAAGGACAATTTTTTGCTAGCAGTCTACTACAGCACAGGCCTGTTGATACGTTAGGAACTTTGTACATGTTTGATAAACGGACCAACAGAATGAAACTGGAACACTTATTTCACCATCGTTATGTATTTTACTAATCACTCTCACATAGGGAACATCCAAATTCTCTGCTAATTAAGCACTTTAAAAAGCCACTACCTTGTAGGGAGTGGGGGAAAAATAACAACCTTCAATTAAAATTAGCAAACATTCAAAAACTGTTGCATTCCCTAGCTAAAGGCTATTCCCAGTAGCCCTTATGACGACATCATATACACTCCTTTTAAAACACATTTGTTCTCCACCTATGAACATTAAGGAAAAACATTTCATGTTAGGGAGTTCATCTATGATACTAGACTCTGCCCTCGAGAGCAACGAAGCTACTGTCAAAGCAAAAATGCAGTCCTTTGGGTCAAACCCACCTGGCAAAAACAAACACAGCCAAGAGCTGTGAAGGAAGGATTCTTACCCCTGATGCCCTGAGTGTAACTATCACAACAGATTCCACCAGAGTCATCACTTTACACCAAGACTATTACTACAATCTATACAAAAAGAACTTTTGCAAAGGCCTTTCCAAAAGGACAGCTTGCCTGACACATAATTTCCACCAGTGAACCAATATCAACTCTGGGGAAACACACCCCAGCAACCAAAGTTCCCTTTTTGCATCCCTCATTTTGCCACCCAGTTCCCTCTGCCTTCCTGATACACCCATCATTCAGTAAGGGACACATATTCCCACTGCAAAGTTCTGCTGTTCTCAAAGACAACCCATCAGTGGAGGGAGAAAACAATACCTTTGGTTGAGGGATGTTCAAATTGAACCCTATGTGAGAGTGCCCTCTGGTGGTTACACCAGCAAGGCTTTTTTATTAGTTTGAGGTGCGCTCATTCATTCCACTGACACAAGAACAAGAAGCAGGCATCGGGTTTTCCAAGAAGTTTGCTTAACTTAAGTAATCATGCAACTTCTCGTAATGCTTAAATGTCTTAAATAAATGGACCTTTCATAAAATGCTAATGGTAGGTAATACAGTTCCTATCTCTGGAAGTGAGGGATTGGCCAGACAACACTGAGATAGAATATGAACCTATTTAATTAAAACCTACTAAAACCAAAGTTTCAGGAAGCAGGGTGCCAATCTATACTTCTAGAACAATACAGTTATTTCTCCAAAGCCACAACCTGAGTGTGTGGTTGGGGTATCATCTCTATTTAGTAATCCTAGCATCTGGAAGCAAAATTTTCTTATTCTAGTTTGGTTTAATTTCTTACTTTTTTTTTCAAGATTTATTTTTGTTTACTTGAAAGACAAAGTTACGCAGAGAATCGAGGGAAGAAGAGACAGAAAAAGAGAAAAAAAAATGAGCGAGATAATCCTCCATCTCCTGGTTCACCCCCAAAACGGCCACAGGGCTGGGCCAGGCCAAAGGCAGGAGTCGGAGCGTCATTTAAGTTTCACATGTGCAGGGGCCCAAGTGGGCCATATTCCACTGATTTCCCGGGCGCAACAGCAGGGGGATGCATCACAAGTAGAGCAGCAGGGACCTGAATCGGTACCCACAGATGTCGGCCCTGCAGCAACACTACAACACCACACTCTACTCTCCCAACCTTCATACTGTATATATCGAGCTTTTAAATTTGGAGTAAATCAACCTGAAGAGATTTTCAAGATATTTAATCAAGAGAGATGATAAAATGCATCATGTCCTATGACTATCCTTCCTTTTAATTTCTCTAAAGTATTAATATTAGTAACAAAAAAAAGGATAAGCCACTTAAAACCACTTTCTTTGGGTTGCAGTCACCATTGTATTTCCTGAACTGCACACTCATCATTTCTGACATCTTATTGGCCACTTGAACCTCCATCTGCAGAGCCTTTATTAAAAGAACACCACTAGGGGTCTTTCTTTTCCACATTTTCTCCTGCCACTATGGCAGGGGTAAGGGTCTTTTCTATCTCAAAGTCCCCTCCCGACACTAGGACAGGAACCTCATTTCTCAGCTTTTCTAATAAATCTTGCTTTAAAACTAAAACAAAAACAAAACACCATTAAACAACAGTCTTTGAATGAAGAAGTATGTTTCTCAGCAATTCTATCAACACACTAAATACTTCATAAGTTTGAATAATGGACTCTTTCAGCTTTTTAAATGATTTGTCACCTCCTATACAGAAATTTCAGGGGGCAGCAGTTGTGTTACAAGCATCATATAGAAGTGGGTAAGAAACAGCAGAGCAATCTGTCAATATTTTAACCACAGAGATGAAGTTCTTTGCATGTAATAAAAAACTGGCCTATTTTTAAAGATATCCAAGAAAAGAAAAAAAAAAAATCCTTCCAAACAAACATACTTTCTACAACGATCTCTAGGATTGTATATTCTTAGCAATAGAAAAAAAATCTTCGGAGCCTGACAATTTTGATCCTATCTCTCCCACTTTGTGTAGGCAGGGTTCAAGTAGTTTAACTTAATCTATTAAATGCAAATAATACCATTTCTTCAAAGCATTATCATTTAGAATTTAATAATGTATGGAAAGGGACTAGAGATACCAAGAACTATCTCATAATGTAATTACTTATTTCCTAGAAACCAATGGAAACACTTTAACATCTAGTTTCTCCATGGATTCCGTGAATTTATTTATTTTCAAGGCAATTTAAAACTTCCTCTCAAAAGGAGAGCCGTGATTCCTCCAGCTCGAAGTGCCAGCATCCCATATGTGCACTGGTTTGTGTCCCAGCTGTTCTGCTTCCCATCCAGCTCCCTGCTTATTGCCTGGGAAAACTGTGGAGGATGGGAAAGCCTTGGAACCCTGCATCCACGTGAGAGACGGGAAAGAAGCTCCTGGCTCCTGACTTTGGATTGGTTCAGCTCCAACTGCTGTGGCCATTTGGGGAGTAAACCAGGTGAAAAACATTTCTCAGTCTCTCCTTCTCTGTAAATCTGTCTTTCCAATAAAACTAAATAAATCTTAAAAAGAAAAAAAAAAGGAGAGCCATGGGATTTTTCTGAATTGTACTTTTTGTCTATGTTTGTTTTATATTTTTTGTTGATATAAAGAGAACAAATCTTAAGCATTCCATAGGTCTGAACTATATTTATGTATGCTGATGATGTAAAAATACTCATCTACACACATAAAATACAGACTTTGCCTCAAAAATAAAGATGAAATAGGTTTTTCTGAGAATCAAATCCAAAATTACATATATAAAGACAAACACATTCTGCTACATGAAAGAATATTTAATGATATTTTTACTATGTAACATATAAGGTGAAGATACCAGACTGAATTTTCTCAAATGGAAACTGGAGCACAGGCTAGCATTCTTCTTTGATTCCAAGAACCTCAGCATCATCTGTCCTTGGGAGGATCCAGCTTCTTACGACGTCTGTGATAACTTGAAAACAAGAAAATAGTTGGTAAAATTATTTTAATGAAAGTTAAGGACTCTTAAAATTCCTATCATCATTTTGCTGTTCATTACAATTTCAAAAATCAAATGAACTTTATATATCAAAGAAAATACTTTTTTTTAAAAAAAAAAGATTGATTTTCTTTATTTGAAAGGCAGAATTCCAGAGAGAGAGGATACACAGAGGGAGTTCTTCCATCTGCTGGTTCACTCCCCAAATGGCTGTGACAGCAGGGTCTGGGATGGGCTGAAGACAGAAGCCAAGAGCTTCATCTGGGTCTCCCACTTGGGTACAGGGGTCCGAACAATTGAAGCCCCTTTCACTGCCTTCGCAGGCACCTTAGCAGGGAGCTGGATTGGAAGTAGAGCTGCAGGAAATGAGACCACCATTAATATGGGATGCCAGTGCTACAAACTACAACACAGGCTCCTCAAATACTTCTTGCATTAAGCCACATTCTCTCACTACAAAAAATTATTTTCTATGAACTAAGCAATGTAGGAAATCTCTTTCAGATCCAGATCCTGATGATAATTTCTACAATAATCTGGATTACTGGTCTCAAATTAGAACACACGAATTGGCTTTACTTACAGTAAGGAGGCTGCAACAGCCAGAACTGCACCAATTTGAAACCAGAAGCAAGAAGCCTCTTCCTGGACTCCCACATGGGTGCAGTGTACCAAACCTTGGGCCACCTTCCACTGCTCTCCCAGGCCACAAGCAAGGAGCTGGATGGGAAGCAGGGCTGCCAGGATTAGAACCAGTGTCTGGGCCTGGTGCGATAGTGCAGCAGTTAAAGTCTTCGCCTTGAACGTGCCAGGATACCATATGGGCACCAGTTCTAATCCCGGCAGCTCTACTTCCCATCCAGCTCCCTGCTTGTGACCTGGGAAAGCAGGTGAGGACGGCCCAAAGCCTTGGGACCCTGCACCCTCGTGGGACACCCAAAAGAAGCTCGTACCTCCTGGCTTCAGATTGACAGCTTCGGCCGTTGCGGCCACTTGGGGAATACGGAGTGAACCATTAGACGAAAAGTATTCCTCCCTGTCTCTCCTCCTCTCTGTATATCTGACTTTGCAATAAAAATAAATAAATCTTGGGCCCGGCGCGGTAGTGCAGTGGTTAAGGTCCTCGCCTTGCACGCCCGGGATCCCATATGGGCGCCGGTTCTAATCCCGGCAGCCCCGCTTCCCTTCCAGCTCCCTGCCTGTGGCCCAGGAAAGCAGTCGAGGATGGCCCAAAGCTTTGGAACCCTGCACCCGTGTGGGAGACCTGGAAGAGGCTCCTGGCTTCGGATCAGCATAGCATCGACCGTTGCGCTCACTTGGGGAGTGAATCATCGAGACGGAAGATCTTCCTCTCTGTCTCTCCTCTCTGTATATCCGCCTTTCCAATAAAAATAAATCTTTAAAAAAATAAATAAATCTTTAAAAAAAAAAGCAAACTAAAAATTAATGCATAGATACAAAGAAATGAAATCTATTGTTAGCAGTAATCATTTTTGAGTCATTCATCATGAAAATTTTTTCTTTTGCTTTTTTGCATGTCCTTATTTACTGATTTAAATATTGACATCCGGGAGTGTGGTGGGCAGGGCTGGGTTGGACTGCAGCACTCACTGGTTTGCAGAAGAAGGAGGGCAGAACAAATTGATCAACTACCCCAATGAAGCTTGACAGCAAACTTCTGCGCGAATGGCAACTCAGAGGTGGACTATGTCAGCCAATTACCCTTGAAAGGATATCCCCAACCTTGGAGCAGCGATATCAACATCTTAGAATTATCAAACCCACATGAGCAGAACCCTTTGAAAGTGCTCCACAACAGGAACCCTGGGATGAGATCGGGTGGCTGTTTCCCACCCCTGGGTACTGAGGCGGCTGGGAGGCTGGGTGTGGCTTCTCCCCACTCCTCCTTCCTCCCCCAGATACAGGAAGAAAAAAAGGAAAATATGTAAACATGGTCTTGCCCACCTGCCCCTGATCTTTGACCCTTCCCACCATGATAAACTATGTAAATAGCATCAAAATTAAAAAACAAGATTTGCTATATGCAACTTACTTTTACATTAATTTTTCTGATATTGATTTTTCAATTAAGTAGCAAAGAATAAAGTGTATCTTTACATACTAACATGCAAAAATAAGTTGTAACAAAGTACACCTTGCAAAACATTACCAAAATAGATATTTCTATAAGCACTTACACTGGCACAGAAGTTATGGTTTCCTAAAGGGTTCCAGTTGAGGTTTCACCACTGCAATAGTGTCTGGAAGGTATTCTCTCACAGCCTCTGGCTGTCAGCATAAGGACTTTAGAAACAGTCTGGGGAGTCATTAACCTCTTGAAATTATCTGAAAAAATTTTCTCTGTGTTTTTCTAGGAAGTGGATTCATAATTTCTTAAATCATTAATGAAGTCAAGAATTCTAAAAATGTCATGAGTCATCTTTTGAAAATGATGCAGCATAAACTGTTCAACCACATTTATTAACTCAAGACTCCCTGAAAGTTAGAGATCCTTATAGTCCTAAACCAACCTACCAAAGTCAAGTTCTAGAATACGCTCAACACAGGTCAAACAGCACCTATAGATTGCGTATCACACATGAATGTGCACGTGCACTATAATCACCAGCCGGAGGCAAGCACCTTTAAGGTGACCCTGTAGCCTCTCATGCAGACTGGGAGTTTTTACAGAGAACATAGGCAGCACTATTAATAATTAACAAGAATTAAGCTATGACTGTTCCTGGCAAACTGAGACACATCACACAGTGACTCAGTGACATCTGGAATGTTGGTTCCCAGTTCTTAATTCAGAGCAGCACTTGCTCTTCCGATTTATACTAAGTAGATCTTCAAATGTGTTTCCTACTGATGGTGGTACCTACTTTTTGTTGCCTCTATAGGAACAAATTAATTCTTTATAATAAAATATATTATCACTTTATAATAAAATGCATTGTCATTTATAGGATTGTTGTTTATTTCAGATATTTACGGTTCATTTCCAGATGTTTCTTATTTTCCATTCAACCTTCCTTCCTTCTTTCAACAGTTTTAAGTTAGGGAAACTATTTAATTTATTATTTTCTTTAAGAGCTATGATGAGATAGAGACATAGTAAGTCAGGAATGCATATCACATATGTTAAGTAGGTAGTCAGATACAGAAGCCTAGTGGGCCAGGGAAGGGCCTTGACCAGAGATAGATATGGGAGTCATTAACAGGCAGATGGTATTCAAAGTTATTGTACTAGGGCACAGTTGGTTAAGCTGCTGCCTATAATGTCGGCATCCCACATGAGCACTGGTTCAAGTCCCAATTGCTCCACTTTCAATCCAGCTTCCTGTTAAGACACCTGAGAACACAGAGAAACAGTCCAAGTACTTAGGTCTCTTCCACTCATGTTGGAGACACAGATGGAATTCTGGGTTCCTGGCTTGAGCCTGGTCCAACCCTGGCTGTTGCAACTATTTGGAGAGTGAGCCAGAGGATGCAATATTGATCTAGCTCACTCCCTCTCCCTCTTTTATTCTGCTTTTTAAATAAATAAACAAATAAATGTTACAACAAAATTATTAAAGTAACAGGCCCAGTTCCTATAAAAATGGTGTTCTACAAAGAAATGTACTACAAGAAAACGCTCTGTTACTCTGGATTTTTGCATGCCCACTGAGGAAGCCTGACGACAGGAAGTAGAGCGTGGGTGCAGTGCTGGGACTGAAAGCACAGGTGTGCTGGCTTCCTGGGCAATGGTGACGCTGGGAAGGGAGATGTCCCCTGAGCAGCCATGGAGTGTCTCAGCAGCAATTCACAGAGCAGCTAGGAGTGCAGATCCTCACAGGAAGCAGAAAATGAATGGATTTGTAGAAGCAGTTCCTCTGAAAGAATGTATCTGACATCTCAAAACTAAAGGTGAATGTGAAGCTAATTTGTTTTTATCATCTATCACACAGGAAGTAGCAGAAGCCTCAAGGTCATATATGCTATTTTTAAAAATCAACCTTTTACATAACCGAATATTCTGAAAAAAAAAATGCATTCAGGCAAAGGCAAATTGACTTCAAAGCCCAACGTTTCATTTTCCTTATCACCCACTTCCTGTGCTAAGAATTCAAACTTCTGGTACTCAGTCAAAATACCATGGCTGTCAGATTCTCTCCCCTTATAAAACTCTGCCTGAGCTTTACAAAATAAATAGATAAGATAGCAGTTTACACCTTCTCATGAAATAAATTTATTTAAAACGATATTATTCCAACCTTAGTTATTAAACTCAGGTTTAATAACTGGTCCTATTTTTTTTCAATAACTTAAAAATTAAAAAACATTTGGTAAAGTATCTTTCTATACATTGCCTGAGGTTTTAGAATTAGCCTGGAATATCTAGAAATGAATATTTGCAAATGGCTTCCATTACATTAACTCAAAATATTTATGTAGATACTAAACAGATACTGTAGAATGACTCGAAAGGATGGTCTGGTAACACTTTTCTTTGTATATATAAACCAGTACCTGAGATTTGCTGCTGAGCTCTTTATTAGGATAGATATGGGAACAATCAAATCCATCTAATTAAAAAGCCTGTTTACAATTGAAAGTGCCTAATAATCCTGATGGGAAAAGACTTATCAGGAGATTAACTTAAATGAAAGCCAAAAGCTAATTTGCAGTAATAAGATTAAATCAGTAAGTAAGATTAAACACCAGTTAGGATATTAGATACAAATATTGGACTATTACATGCTTGGTTTTAAGACTCTGATTAGTCTTTCTGCCTTCACTCTGGCTCCCTTCAAGTTACACACCACAGCGAACTTCAGTGAGTTGGTTACAAGTAATGAAACAAAAGACGGCTGGAGCTGCAGATGCAGAGATCCACCTGCTCTCAGACCTGTGACCTGCCAGAGGACAGGGCCTTCAGACTTAACCCAACACTCACTCATCTTCCTCACTGCCCAACAAGACTACAGCAATGCAGAAAAAAAAAAAGTGTATATATATCTTTGAAATAAAAATAAATAAATAAATCTTAAAAAGAGAAAAAGAAGCAGTGAGCACTTGGACCCGTGTGGTGGTTCAGTGAGCTAAGCTGCAGCAAACGACAATGGCATTCCCTGTCAGAGTGCTAGTCTGAGAGCCAGCTGCACTATTCTGATCCAGCTCCCTTCTTGTGTGCCTGAGAGGGCCGTGAAAGATGGCCTAAGGGCATGGCCCTGCCACTCCTAGGGGACAGTCAGCTAAGCAGTGAACCAAGGGATAGATGATCTGTCTATATTTCTATCATTCTGCCTTCCAAGCAACTAAATAACGTGCACTGTGAGCACTTGCAAACAGAGCAGCAATTACAGTTATCTAAAAAGGTATGAACAATACATATTGCCCAATCATGAAATGCATTTATTTTTTAAAAAGAGATCCTAGCAACCTATTAACAGGTGGTCACATGCACAGAGCAGGGGAGGTACCCAGAGTGGAGCAGGTAAACAGGAGGAGGCTCGTGTCCCAAACCTGGAGACTCCCGGATCCCCACCAAAGACTGTCAGTATGGGTACCAAGGACTACATCAAACTGCCCAAGAGACCAGGGGGAACTGGAGTGCTTTCGGAGGCCGAAAACTCAGAGGACATCCCCCCGCCTTTTCTCTGGACCTACCACACAGGATGGAAGAAGCCCGAGCCCTTCATCGTGGGACCCAGGGTCATTGGAACAACAGACAGGAAACCTGAGTGGTCCTCAGAACCAGAAGAACAGTAAACCTCCTTCAGAATTGGGGAGAGGAGCTTTCTCTAGTCCTTGCTTGGTTCCAACTTTGGATCCTCACCCTCTCTGCAATGACCATTAGGGTTGCTCCAGAGCCGCCCCTCCAAACACACGCACAAGTTAGAATAGATAGGCAGAGAACAAAAAGGAAAGCCTGATCAGCATAAACTCATACACACTTCACTAGGGAGGACACGAAGATTAAGTACTCCTCAGCAAGGTGTTGAGAATTTCTCTGCACACCACCCCTCCTAAACTGTCTCGCACCTCAATTGTTGAAATGTCATCGAAGTGGTCACAGAATGTGGTTAAGAACTTGCATTTAATCTTACTATATTGCTTACTCGGTACTATGTCAATTAGTTCCACAAAATTGTATATTGTTGCTGATGATGTTATGTTGGTGCTTTTTGTAATTGATCAGGATTTTACTTTGTTGGCTCTAACATTGGACCAGAGAGGGTCTCCCCAAGAAGCTGCTGAACTTCTCTAGAACATGAGATGCTGGACTCTATGTTAGGTATATGCTCGCGGGGAAGGAATCTCAACTGAACTTGAATTGTGGATACGCAACAAGGTGGAGGAATCCACCATGAGGGGAGGTTTGGGGGAGGCGAGGGAGGAATTCCAGTACCTAAAAAGCTGTATCACATAATGCAACATAATAAATTAAGAAAAAAAATAGCAACTCCAAATCTTCTAAAGAAACAGATAAAGAACAAAGCCACCTATTTATCAAGAAGATGAATGCAAATGACATATTAAACAACTATTATGGAGTAGTAAAATCTGTAAGAACTCTTGAAAAACTCACTAAATTCTTCCACTGAAATCAAGGAAGGGGTGGCTGCTATGGCACAGTGAGTTAAGCTACCACATGGGACAATTCACACTCCATTTTGGACAGAACATCTGGAATCACTGCACAGCTGCTTTGCCTTGGATGTGGGTTCTTGCTAATACGTACCCAAGAGGCAGCAGACAACAGCCTAAGGACGTAGGTTTGTGCCACCTATGTGGAACAGGATGGTGCCCCTGCCTCCTGGCTTTGGCCTGGCCTGGCCCCACATGTTCTTGGTATTTGTGGAGTGAATCAGCAGATGGAAAATAACTCTGTCAGTCCCTCTTTCTCTCTCCTTTTGTCCCATCTTTTCCTTCAAAATAAATCTTTAGAAGAAAAAAAAAAAAAAAAAAAAGACGGGCCTGGCACTATGGCCTAGCAGCTAAAGTCCTCGCCTTCAATGTGCCGGGATACCATATCGGCACCGGTTCTAATCCCGGCAGCTCCACTTCCCATCCAGCTCCCTGCTTGTGGCCTGGGAAAGCAGTCGAGGACGGCCCAAAGCTTTGGGACTCTGCGCCCACGTGGGAGACCTGAGGAAGTTCCTGGCTCCTGGCTCCAGATCGGCAAAGCACTGGCCATTGTGCTCACTTGGGGAGTGAATCCACACATGGAAGATCTTCCTCTCTGTCCCTCCTCCTCTCTGTATATCTGAGTTTGTAATAAAAATAAATAAGTCTTTAAAAAATGGATGTATTGTATTTTTATTTGAAAGGCAGATTTTTAGAGAGAGGCGAGACACAGAGACAAGATCTTCCGTCTGCTAGTTCACTACCCTACTGGCTGCGAAGGCTGCAGCTGAGCTGATCAGAAGCCAGGAGCCAGAAGCTTCTTCTGCGTCTACCACATGGGTGTAGCCATCCTTTGCTGCTTTCTCAGGCCATGCAAAAAAAGTTACATGTTCTTCTAATGTGTGAGGGTGGAGCTGAAGAAACAGAACTTACTGTCCATGAGGATACCAGCGGTGCTTAGTAGTGAAGAACATCTTGCTAAGTTGCTCCACCATGGGTCCCTGCTCAAGGTGTTCACTTTTTCCTTGCAGTCTGGTTTTCAGCACTTGATCATGTGTTTCTTCATTATTAAGCACAGGATCTGGCCGAGGGATAGGCTACGAAACAATCACCAAAAGCATCAAAATGTAGGCACACACAAGTTCAACATTTGATTAAGTTTCCAATAATACAACTACCGCATCTAGTCATTCACTACAGTATCTCAGGGACGATAAACAACTAATCAGGACCGTTCCACTTGGTTGAATAACTCAACAAAGGATCAGAAATAGGAACAAGAGTTGTGGCACAGCACATTAAACTGCAGCCTAAGATTCAGTATCCCTCAAGAGCACCGGCTCCAATACTGGCCACTCCACTTACGATCTAGCTAACGTGCATGAGAAGGTTCCACAGAATGGCTCAAGTGTCTGAGCCATGGAAGACTCCAATTGAGTTCCAGGCTCCTGGCTTCAGATACATCCACAGTATGGGGCTTCTCAAGCTCAACTTACAAGGAACCCCTTACTGAGCTGTGCTGTGATTAGTACGTTATTCCCTCCTAGTGCAAGAGAGAATAAGTGGTGATATAATGAAGAGAATAAAATCTTGGGCATCGGCCTCTGATTGTCACTTACTAACTCTGTGATCTTGTGCAGCTTATTTAACTCTTAAATTTCCTTTTTAAAAAAATAGAGTAAAATGTATCTCTGAAAGATTTGCTGAGGATGAAGTGAAATGATATAAAGTGTGCTTAGCTATGCCTGATATTCTAACAGTTCAATAAATATAAATAGTTACTAACATTCCTTTTAAGGCCTAAAACAAGAAAAAAAAATATTTAAATGGACTTTATAAGGAAATACTTCCTAAATATTTAAATGATTTTGAAAAGATCATCTCTTTACATAAAACAATATATTAATATGTCTTGTAAATCATTATCTATCCTGAGAATGACTGAAAAACAGTTAGAGCTGTGAAAGCTATCAGAATCAAAATGGATGCACCTGCCAAAACCTAACAAATCAATCAGTAAGCAAATAAAGGCAGGTTATGCAGGGAGGGGATCTCACATACACCTGCTTATGGCAATAACCATCCCAACAGGCTGTCTAAAGCACAGCCTTGCACAAAGGCTCACACAAAGACACACATCTGCCCTGCCACTGCCTACTGAACCTGGGACCAACACCACCCATGTTACTGACCCTTGAATCCGAGGATTATTATTTCTTGTTTTTCCTTTTTTTAAAAAATATGTATGGGCCTGGTGCAGTAGCCCAGTAGCCAAAGCCCTCGCTTTGCACGTGCAGGTATCCCATATGAGTACTGGTTCATGTTCCGACGACCCTGCTTCCCATCCAGCTCCAATGCTTGCGGCCTGGAAAGGCAGTAGAGGACCGCCCCCAAAATGTTGGGATCCTGAGCCCACATGGGAGACCCAGAGGAGGCTTCTGGCTCCTGGCTTTGGACTGGCTCAGCTCTGGCCATTGTGGTCACTTGGGGAGTGAATCCGTGGACAGAAGATCTTCCTCTGTCTCTCCTCCTATGTGTATATATATATATATATATATATATATCTGCCTTTCCAGTGAAAAAATAATCATTTCCAATGAAAAACTGAAAGGCAGATTTACAGAGAGAGGAGGAGAGACAGAGAGGAAAATCTTCCATCCACTTGGTTCACTCCCCAGAGAGCTGGATGGGAAGTGGAGCAGCTGGGACATGAACCAGCACCCTTAAGGGATCCTGGCACATACAAGGCAAGGATTTAGCCACTGAGCCATCATGCTGGGTCCAAGATGACTATTTCAAAATAATTTATGTAATTCTTATCTTCATTTCACCTTTAAATACTTCCCCTTAGGGTGAGCACTGTTGTGTACCAGTATACCTGTAGTGCCAGTGTCCCAAATTGGTGCTGGTTCAAATCCTGGCAGCTCCATTTCCAATCCAGCTCCCAGCTAACACTCCTGAGAAACCAATGGGAGATGGTCCAAGCAATTGTACACCTGAATGTATGTGAAAGACCAGGAGATCCATGCTTCTGGCTTTGGCCTGACACAGCCCAGTCACTGCAGACATTTGGGGAATGAATCAGCAGATGGAAGATCTTTCTCTTTCTCAGTAAACCGTTTTTCTTAAGATCTATTTATTTATTCGAAAGTTGAAGTTACCAAGATAGAGAAAGAGACAGAAAGAGAGATCTTATCTGCAGCTGCTGGAATCGGGCCAGTCTGAAGCCAGGAGCCAGAGGTTTCCATGTGGGTGCAGAGGCCTAAAGCACTTGGGCCACCTTCCACTACTTTCCCAGTCACATCAGCAAGGAAGCTAAGATGTGTGTAGAAAGAGCTGACTGGGCTAGGTCTGGTCTCCTGCTAAATCACATGAGAGCTGTGTCATGACATGGACCAGGTATGCCTGGGCTGTAACACCAGAATGATATGGGCTGGTTGGGCAGAGCCACTGTTCTTGCCAGGACAGGAGGTAGACTACATCAGCTAGGGCCAAGAACCCATCAGTATGCCCAAGATGTGCACTAGGAGGAAACCTGATGGAGGAGCTGGGGTAACTCTTCAGCCATGATGCAGTCCCTGCAGATGAGAGCAACAACCAAGACAAAGAGCAGCCAGCCCAGGCCAGGTTACAGTACCCGCCAACATACGTGTAGGGGGTCAAGTCTGGGGGAGGGCCAGCCTAGGCCAGTTCATAACACCCACTGACAGATCTGAGAACCAGGATGGAGTAGGGGATGGGCCGGGTCAGGCCGCAGCACCAACCAGTTCACATTAGGGATGAGACTGGGGGCTGGCTGGGCCAGGTTGGGCAGCAGCACTTACCAGCCCAGGCCAGGCCAGACTATAGCACTCACTGCATATGCTGAGATGAGCTGAACCATACCAGACCAGCACACTCATGACCTCGGTGGAGGGGCGGGTACAAGCCTGGTAGGGGAGATGTGGGGTCTCCCCTGCTGGGCCACTGTTCCTGCTGGTGAACGTGAAGCTGGGACTCGGGTAGACTAAGGTCTTCCATTGAGAATCGCTCTGAATGGGCTACAGTGCCTGATGGCATACATGGAGGCCAAGTGCGTGGTGGGCTGGTGGGAAAGGGTTGTAACACGCATTGGTTTGCTGGAGGCAGAACTGACTCAGCAATTACAACTATCTCTGGGTGTGTAGGCTGATGTGGATGAACCCCATACTGGCAGCAGCTCATGGAAGTCAGGTCTGGGATCACCTCAGACAAGATTTCTTTAAGGGTACCCCCAACTAAACTGCTAGACTCAGAACTCCAACCATGGGGAGAGTGGCAGGACTTGTGATTCAACCGTGAAGTGCATGTGTCTGAACAGGGCCACCTCAGTTACTGAAGACGGTGCGGTAGACAGCATACCCAGATGCACACAGGGGTAGACCGTGTTAGCCAATGGCCCTTGGAAGGATTTCCTCGTCCTCGGATCTGTGAGATCTAAAGCACGTCAGAACTATGGAGACCACTTGAACAGAACCCTCGAGCATGTCCCACATCAGGAACCAGGGGATGACATTAGGTGGCCATTCCTCATCCCTGGGTACTGAGGTGGTTGAGAGGCTGGGTGTGGCTTCTCTCCTTGTCCACCCTCCACTCCCAGATTTAGAAGAAGAAAAGGAAGGTGTGGAAACAGTGGTCTCACCTGCTTTCCCCTAGTCCTTGAGCCTTCCCAACCTGATCAACTGTATAAAGACCATTTAAATAGAATAAAATAGGATAAAATAAAATAATATTAGCACTTTAAAATATCAGTACCATATGGGGCAGGCAAAGGATTAAGCCACCACTCCCAGTGCCAACGGTCCGTATCAGAGTACCAGGTCAAGCCCTGTCTGCTCCACTTCTGGTGCATTAGCTTCCTTCTGGGACACCTGAGAAGGCAGCACATGATGACCCAAGTACATGGACCTCTGCCACCCACGCAGGAGACCAGAATGAGTCCCTGTCCCTTGGCTTTTGCTTGCTCCAGACGCAGCTATTGCAACCATTTATGGAATGAACCAGCAGATGGAAAATTCACTCTTTCCCGGTCACCCTACCTTTCAAATAAATCAATCTTTAGAAAAATAAACAGCTTAAAAATTCAGACAATCCTTGTCTATAAATGAACATCTAGTGCAAACATTTAGAATGAATATTTCTAAAGCAAATTAAAAACTTCAAGAGATGTTCTTACACGTACTTTGGTATGTTCATATGGAATATCCACGGAAGGATGATAGCATACTATGGTCCTGCCATCCGATGTCAAAGCAAGTTCTACTTTGCTTTAAAAAAAAAAAAAAGTTACAGTGTATTCAAGACAGAATGATTAAAAAATCAGTTACAATTAATGAATCACAAATAGTTGAACAGACACTATGTGACCAGATTAGAAAATCCAGTGCCTCCCCTATGTTTATAGCAGCACAATCAGTAATTGCAAAAACATGGAAGCAACCGAAATGCCCATCAGCAAAAGATTGGGTAAGAAAGCTTTGGTTCATCTACTCCATGGAATACTACTCAGCTATTAAAAAAAACAAAATGCAGTTCTTTGTGGCTAAATGGGCCCAACTGGAAACTATAATGCTAAGGGAAATAAGCGAATCCCAAAAGGTTAGATACCACATGTTTGCCTTGATTTAACCTGTAATTTTTGTTTGGTTGTTTGTTACTTTTTGAACCTGTCATTGATACTGTCTCAACCCAGATGTTTCGAAGAATGGAACTTGCATTATTTTTAACATATTGTTTACTCAATACTATGTCAATTAATTCCATAACATTGTATATTGATGCTGATGTTTTGTTGGGGCTTTTAACTGACCGGAACTTTACTCTGTTAGCTCTACCTTCAGACCAGAGAAGGTCTCCCCAAGAGGCCACTGAACTTATCTGGACAATAAGATGCTGAACTTTACGCTAGGTATATGCTTGCAATGAAGGAATCTCAACTGAACTTGAACTGTGGTTATGCAGCAAGGTGGAGGAATCCACTATGGGGGGAGGGTTGTGGGAAGGGTGGGGGGAATCCCAGTGCCTATAAAACTGTATCACATAATAGAACGTTAATAACAAAAAAAAATAAAAAATAAAAAGAAAAGAAAATCCAGTGCCTATAATTTAGGAGGCAACTCAAGACCTGCCCACAGAAGATGTCAGCTCAACTTCCTCAACAAAGTATCTTCTAGATCTGAACAACTAGTCATCGGCTCTAATGTGTATCTCGGCTAATGGAGGATGAGGCATTAGACTGCCTTACCGTGAGTTTAAGGTAGAATAACAAGTGGGAGGGAGGGAATATCACTATGTTCTTGCAAGTGTATCTACAAATCACACTGAGTATGTCAAAAAAAAATTTAAAACAGAAATTCACACACCAAAACAAGATTGAATGCTAGAACAAGTCTCCAATGCACATGTAACTGATCAAATGCTCTGTGGTAAAAGATAGTTTTAGATAATATAAAACACAGAAATTCAACCTTTTTAGATTAAAAAGCTGTTACTTAGACATATCATTTCTAACTTTTTATCTTTGTACATTCTAAGTGTACAATAAAGTTAGTGCCAAAAGAGAAAAATTTCTACTGTAATTTTCAATAAAAACCATAAGAAAACATGCTATAGTTTCTACACATCAGATTCTGCTGTAAAGAAAACAGCATCATGTGCTCTTATTCCTAGTTCTTAACATATTTCCTGGACTTGATAAACAGTAAATAAATGGTAGTTGAATTAAATATTTATAATTTAGGATTATTCAACACCAAACAAAAGATAAGATAAATAACTACTTAAGCTAATGGATATGAACGCAAAGAGAAAACTATAAAAATAAATTAAATTTTCCAAAGAGCTAACACATGCTTCAGGAAGAAAAGACAGCATTTGTGCCAGCATGCCTGTCTTGTGGCAAATTAAGCATTCACTGAAACACAATGAAAATGATTTTTTATTTAAAATATTTGTAAGCTTAGATACTGGGCAAATAAGACCATTAAAAATTTAAAAACAAAATTACATGGAGAATAATCAGAAAAGCAGAAAGAAAATAAAATTAAATCACTTCAGATACAGCTAAAACTATTATTTGTTCAACTGAATTTTAATACATACCAATTATAGTCATCCGGAAGAGGAGAATACGTAGATTTATGGCAAACACAATATAAAGCTCCATCTGCAAAAACCCCAAACAGTAAAATACACTGGGTTAATCTGAGCACATGTTCTCACATAAATTGAGATCTATTTTCTCTCATTCAACTGATCTTAACCAATAACTGAAACTGGCCCATATTGGAGACCAGGGACCAGTAAGCCTGTGTCCCTGGCCCCAAAAGGATACAGCTTGCTGATGATACAGGCAGAGAACAACAATTCTAGTTGCAGGTTTTTGGCACAAAAGATGCCACTTGAGACCTCCACGATTTAGAGTGCCTGGGTTCAAGTTCCAGTTCTGCTCACAATGTTAGCTTCACCCTATTACACACCACACCCTGGAAGGTAGCAGGTTCCACCTCCCAACCCACAGTCCCGGTCTGAGTCCCAGGATCCTGGCTTCAGGCTGGCCCAAGCCTGGCCTCTCTAAGGAGTAAACACATGTACAGGAGATCTGTTGCTGCTGCATCTCTCTTTTGTTGTTTTTCACATAAAAATGAGAGAAAAATTAACTAAGATTAGCTAAAAATTGAACTAAAAATAACTAGGAGTTGATAGGCGGTGAGTGCAACCTTGGAGAGGGATGAACAGGTGCAAGGGCCAGGGTTCAGAATGGAAATGGACTACCCAAGCAGGCTCGTCTTTCCAAGAAAGAACATGGAGCATCTGGGTATTCCAAGGGACACAGTCTATAAAAAGGGACTATTAGGTAATGAATCACCAAGTAGATTACTCCAAATTAACTTCTCCTAATCAGAATAAACAGAATAATCACATTTCAAATAATAGTTTCCTTTTTTCCGCAAAACCGGCAAACTTAAGAGTTATAAATGGGGCCCGGCGCGGTGGCACAAGTGGTTAAGGTCCTTGCCTTGCACGCCAGGGATCCCCTATGGGCACTGGTTCTATCCCAGCAGCCCCACTTCCCTTCCAGCTCCCTGCCTGTGGCCTGGGAAAGCAGTCGAGGACGGCCCAAAGCTTTGGGACCCTGCACCTGCGTGCGAGACCCAGAAGAGGCTCCTGGCTTCGGATCGGCATGGCATCGGCTGTTGCGCTCACTTGGGGAGTGAATCATGGGACGGAAGATCTTCTTCTCTGTCTCTCCTCTCTGTATATCTGCCTTTCCAATAAAAAAATAATAAAAATAAATCTTTAAAAAAAAAAAGTTATAAATGAACCAGCAGAGACAAAATCTTAAAAAAAAACAAAAAAAAAGAAAGAAAGAAAAAAGATGCATTTCTTTTTATTGGAAAGTCAGCTTTAGAGAGAGGAGAGACAGAAAGATCTTCCATTCGCTGTTTTACTCCCCCAAGCAGCTGCAACGTCGGTGCTGAGCCAATCCGAAGCCAGGAACATCTCCAGGTCTCCCACGCGGGTGCAGGGTCCCAAGGCTTGGATCGTCCTCAACTGCTTTCCCAGGCCACAGGCAGGGAGCTGGATGGGAAGTGCAGCAGTCATAATGCAAGCTTCTGATTTCTGTCAATGCAAACTCCAGGAGGCAGCAGTGACAGCTACAGAGGTTCCAACAGTGGAGACCTGGATTGAGTTTTGAGCATCGAGGGTCAATGCCTTGCAGGCATTTGAGAAGTGAACCATTATATAAAAAGCTCTCTTTGTCTCTCACGTAAATAAGCAAAAACCAGAAAAATTATTTTTTAAAACAGTAAAACCCGCAGCTAGCGCAATGGCTCAACTGGAGAAACCTGAGCCTGCCAGCACCCGCATCCGTTATGGGTGTTGGTTCATGTCCTGGCTGCTCCACTTACCCAGCTCCCAACTTGTAACCTAGGAAAGCAGTGAAAGACAGCCCAGAGCCTTGGGACCCTACAGCCACATGGGAGACCCAGAAGAACTTGGCTCCTGGCTGCAGATCGGATCAGCTCCAGCCACTGTGGCCATATGAGGAGTGAACCAGTCAGTGAAAGACCTTTCTGTCTGTCTCTCCTTCTCTTTATAAATACACTTCCCAATAAATATAATTAAATAAATAAGTAAGCAAAACAGTAAGATCTATCAAACTTTCACATATTCTAGTGAAAAAAGGTGCTCAATGGGTAAAACATTTTTTTCTTATCTCAACTATCCTCAAATTACCTTTTTTTTTAAAAGTATTGCCCTAATCAACAATGTAAAGAGCATCAAAAATTTTTTTTAATTAAAAAAAATTATTTTACGGAAAGTCGGACATACAGAGAGGAAAAGAGAGAGAAAAGATGTTCCACCAGATGTTTCACTCCCCAACTGGTTGCAACAGCCAGAGCTGAGCCAATCCGAAGCCAGGAGCCAGGAGTTAGGAGCTTCTTCTGGGTCTCCCATGTGAGTGCAGGGTCCCAAGGCCCTCGGCCATCACTGACTGCTTTCCCAGGCCACAAGCAGAGAGTTGGATGGGAAGCGGGGTCGCAGGGACACAAACTGGAGCCCATATGGGATCCTGGTGCATGCAAGATGAGGACTTTAGCCACTAAGCTACTGCACTAGGCCCTACTTTATTTTTTTAAGAATCTTGCAGGGCTTGGCGCGGCAGCTCCACTTCCCATCCAGCTCCCTGCTTGCGGCCTGGGAAAGCAGTCGAGGATGACCCAAAGCCTTGGGACCCTGCACCCACGTGGGAGAATAGGAAGAGGCTCCAGGCTCTTAGCTTTGGACTGGCTTGACCCTGGTTGTTGTGGTTACTTAGGGAGTGAAGCAACAACAGATGGAAGATCTTCCTCTCTGTCTCTCCTCCTCCTTGTATAGCTTCCTTTACAGTAAAAATAAATAAATCATAAAAGAAAAAAAGACTCTTGCAAACTTCAAAATCTACTTTGGTTTCTTTCAGGTTTTTGTTTAAATTTATTTTACTTATGTGAAAGGCAATAACACTGGTTCAATAAACCAAGCGCATCTACCCGCTGCCTACAGGAGACACATCTCATTAACAAACATTACCAGCTCATGGATTTCAATGTTTTTATTTTCATTTCTTCAAAACAATTTTTTTTCTCAAATTAAATTCTTTATCGACTCATAGGTCATACTGTAGCATTATTTTCGCCAAGGAAGTTCTTGATTTTCATTTCTTCAGCGACACATTAGTCATTTAGTAGTATGTTGTATAAGTGCATGGCATAAATTTCTGGTTTTTTTCCTGTTGTTGATTTTGTTTTGTGGCTTTTCATTTAAGGGGATGTACAGTAACTGTGTAATGGAGACTATCATAGCCAGATGTGAGGATACAATGCAGTATGCATCTCTACTTCCAGATCAAAACTGGACTCCTAATGAAACTGTATCTTGACAACAGGATGCTGTACTCTGCCATTGTCCACGCCCACAATGTCAGGATACACTTAAAAAGCAGAATGATGGACTTAAGATTGTTTAGGAAGAACTATACTATTGTAATAATATAGGGGATATCAGTGGAGGAGGAAGAGGGGACTTGGGGAGGGAGTAAGGGAAATTCCAGAGACTAAAAAACTGCATCATAAAATAATAAAAAATATGAAAAAAAAAAGGCAGTTATATAGACAGAAGGAGAGAGAAATCTTCCATACACTGAGTCATTCCCCAAACAGCCAGAGCAGCCAGAGCTGAATCACAAGTGGAGTAGCCAGGAATCAAATTGGCATCCACATGCAATACAGGCATTGCTTTATCTGCTATGCCACAGCATCAGCCCCGCCCCTTACTTTAATTTTTAACCCAAATCATCAAACACCTCCTTCCATCTATCTTTTTTTTTTAACGTAAAAAGAAAAAGATATATTTACGGGCCCAGCAAGATGGCCTAGTGGCTAAAGTCTTTGCCTCAAATGCACCTGAATCCCATGTGAGTGCTGGTTCTAATCCCAGCGGCTCCACTTTCCATCCAGCTCCCTGCCTGTGGCCTGGGAAAGCAGTTGAGGACGACCCAAAGCCTAGGGACCCTGCACTCGTATGGGAGACCTGGAGGAAGTTCCAGGCTCCTGGCTTCTGACTGGCTCAGCACCGGCCACTGCAGTCACTTGGGGAGTGAATCAGAAGGAAGATTTTCCTCTCTGTCTCTTTTCCTCTCTGTATATCTGACTTTGCAATAAAAATAAATAAGTCTTAAAAAAAGCCTAATAAATAAATAAAAAGGGGTTAGAGTTGTGGTACAGTGGATTGAGTTGTGGTATAGCGGATATGAGCACTGGTTCAACTTCTCAATGCTCCTTGACCACCCAAGAAAGAAAATACCAGCCGAGTACAAACAGGACTTTATTATACAAAGAGAAGTCCATTCCTGGGCAGTCCTAGATATTGACAAGAATGTTCAAATGTTTTCATTAAAGAAAAATAAAATCAAAACAGAAAAAAAAAACTTCTACATGCTTCACTTTTTTTATTGATCCATTTATTTACTTGCAAAGTAGAGTTATAGAAGGGGGATGGAGAGAAACAGAAAGCAATAGAATTAGACATCTTCCATGCAAAGGTTCACTCTCCAAACAGCTGCATGGCCAGAGCAGGGCCAGTCCAAAGGCGAGAGACAGTAGCTTCTTACGAACTCACATGTGGGTACAAGAGCCCAAGCACTGAGGGATCCTCTGCTGCCTTCGTAGGTACATTAGCCGGAAGCGGGATGAGAAGTGACACAGCCAGGACTCGAACCAGTGCTGTAGCATTGCAGTGGCCCCTACCACTCCACTTCCAATCCAGCTCCCTGCTAATGTGCATCCACAAAGTAGCAGGCAATGAGCCAAGCAGCTGCGTGCCCCCACCACCATGAGACGAGGACTGAGCTCCAGGCTCCTTGTTTCAGCCTGGCTCAGCCCAGCTATTTCCGCTATTTCCGCAGTGAACCAGCAGATGGAAGACCACTTTCTCTGTCTCCCCTCCTTATGAAATTGAATTCCAAATAAACAACAAAAAAATTCTTTCAATTAAAAAAAAAATCTACTTACGGGTTGGAGATAAATGTCTCCAGAGAGCTGTGTTTGATATCACCCGTTTCACTGCAGCTGCTGCCATGGCGTAACCAGAATGCTGTGAATGCTGCGTATCAAGTGGGATGGAAGGGAAGTTTGCAAGAAAACCACGTTCAACATGTCCTTCCAGGCCTATCAATTTTTGTCCCTGTTTAAAAGAAAAAATGAGTTCTACCAATGGTACACCATAGGAACACACACAAATATTTATAACACTCTATCCTCTGATGCTTTCCCAGCCCTAAGAAGGGACTTGCATCAGAAAGGAAGCAGCCAGGACATAACCCACACCCATATAGCACCCTGGTGCTTGCAAGGTGAGGATTTAGCCATCTGAGCCACTGAACCAGTCCCCAGGACTTTTTCTTAGTGCAAGCTTCTACCCATGCCAAGAAGCTCTTTCTACTTACGAAGTATTCAGTGAACATGAAATTACTCTTAGAAACAGGCAGTCAAGTATGGTAGAGTATCCACTTTCATAATGTTCATGTACAACCTTCCAGGTACCCTAATCAGCATCTCAGCATATCATCCATGTTTCTGATTACAAGAAATATTTTTAGGGTCAAGCAGTGGCCTAGTGGCTAAAGTCCTTGCCTTGAATGTGCCAGGATCCTATGTGGGTGCCAGTTCTAATCCTGGCAGCCCTGCTTCCCATCCAGCTCCCTGTCTGTGGCCTGGGAAAGCAGTTGAGGACAGCCCAAAGTCTTGGGACCCTGCACGTGTGTGGGAAACCAGGAGGAGGCTCCTGGCTTCAGATCAGCACAGCTCCAACCATTGCAGTCACATGGGGAGTGAATCATCGGACGGAAGATCTTCCTCTCTGTCTCTTCTTCTCTCTGTATATCTGATTTTCCAATTAAAAAAATAAATAAATCTTTAAAAAAAAAAAGGGAGGGGGAGGGCCTGGCATGACAGCGTAGTGGTTAAAGTCCTCGCCTTGAACACGCCAGGATCCCATATGATGCTGGTTCTAATCCCAGCAGCACCACTTCCCATCCAGCTCCCTGCTTGTGGCCTGGGAAAGCAGTCGAGGATGGCCCAAAGCCTTGGGACCCTGCACCTGTGTGGGAGACCCAGAACTCCTGGCTCCTGGCTTTGGATTGGCTCAGCTACTGCTACTGTGGCCACTTGGGAAGTGAATCATCGGACAGAAGATCTTTCTCTCTGTCTCTTCTTCTCTCTGTATATCAGCCTTTCCAATAAAAAATAAATCTGTAAAAAAAAAAAAATAAATAAGGACTATCCATGACCTTTTAAATACTTCTTTAGAGGAGCACTTAGGCATTTTCTTCAAAAGTCTTGTGGAAAAATGAAATGGAATTATGGCGATGTTATTGGAAAGGTAGATTTACAAAGAGAGGAGACAGAAAGATTTTCCGTCCACTAGTTCACTTTCCAAGTGGCTGCAATGGCCAGAGCTGAGCTGATCCAAAGCCAGGAGCTATAGCTTCTTCCAGTGCATGGCGTAGGGTCCCAAAGCTTTGGGCTGTCCTCAACTTCTTTTCCAGGCCATAACCAGGAAGCTCTATGGGAAGTGGGACATGAACCAGCACCAACATGGAATCACAGTATGTGCAAGACAAAGAGTTAGCCACTGAACATTGTGCCAGGCCCAATGATACACATTTTCATTAACTTTCTATACAACCTTCATATGAACATTTCGCAGCCCAGAAAAAAAAATTTATTTTTTAAGATTTATTTTATTTGAAAGGTAGAGCTACTGAGAAAGAGGGAGCGTGGGAATGGGCCCAGTGATGACTCAACTAATCCTCCACCTCCAAGTGCCGACCTCCCTTATGTACTCAAGTTCGTGTCCCAACTGCTCAATTTCCCATCCAGCTCCCTGCCTGTGGCCTGTGAAAGCCGCAGAGGACGGCCCAAAGCCTTGGGACCCTGCACCTGCATGGGAGACCCGGGCGAAGCTCCTGGCTTCAGACTGGCTCAGTTCTGACCATTGTGGTCATTGCAGCGTGAATCAGAGGATATGTAAGATCCTTCTATCTTTCCTTCTCAGCATAAATCTGTCTTTCCAATAAAAACAGATAAATCTTTAAAGAGAGAGAGAGAGAAAGAGAGATTTTCTCTCTGCCGATTCCCTATCTAAATGGCTGCAACAGCCAGAGCTGGGCTGATCTGAAGCCAGTAGCCAGATTCTTTCTGGTCTCTTCCTTGAGGTGCATGGGCCTAAGACCTGTGCCATCTTCTGCTACTTTCCCAAGCTCATTAGCAAGAAGCTGGATCAGAAGTGGAACAGCCAGCAGAGTGTTAGTCTATGATTCCACAGCACCAGCTCCTATAATCTCATTATCTTAATAAAGAGCTCATCAGGAAATTCATGTAAAAATTGAATCAATGGTAAGCTTATTTTCCTGCAAAATACTTATGGAAAGCCTTTTTTTTTTTTCATAATCCAACTTTTCATTAAATTTTTTTTAAGATACCTCATACACACATGGTTAACAATTTTTTGCACCAAACATTTACCTTAACATTGTATTTTCCAAGGATTTCATGTATTAGATTTTGAACTTTACACAGCAGAGAAGTGGCTGAAAACAAATCATTTAACTTCTCTGAGTCTTTCCTCACGGTCTGTAATATAATCTATAAACAAAGATGCCTATTTCAATGAACTTGTGAAAGCACATAATTATATCAAAATGGACTGCAAACTGTAAAACACAAACTGTTAGCAAGGCAGATCTACTGTGGGGAGTGAGCCAGCGGCTTCAGCCTCATTAATCATGTATAGCATTTGGCATTTATTTTGATTCATGCACAACTAAAGTATAAAATGTTAATGACTTGCTTCTAAGGACGCTGGTGCTTGCAAACTGGGAAATTTGGAGCCAATCATTGACAAAATGACCAGCATCTTAAAGGTAAAACGGGGCAAAGAACCACGATATCCTGGGGCCATTGGGAATAAATGACACTTCTGCTTAACCACTGAATCTTCTTTTAATTGGCGTCAGTGAGGATCCGAGCCCCCTCAACAATCAAGGAGGACACGGGCCCTCTCAGGTGTCAGCACCCTGCTAACCCTGGGCTCACAGTGTGATTTTCCTGTTGGCAACTCACTCTCATATAGTTATCTGCTCTGACTTTCACTAGCTGGTCAAATAGACATCCTTTTATAGATTATGTACAAGGCTCACAGCGGTCAAACGATCCACCCGCCCGCTGTTCCGTTACTCTCACAGTCCACCGACCAGAGGTCCAAAAGACGCACAGTGGCAGATGGTCGGTAGCCCTCCCCGCCCCCCGGCGAGAGGTGAGTTTATTCACCGCAGGGAGACGATGTCTGCGGGCAAATCCTTGGACTCCGGATTTAACTCGAAGGAGAAGCTAAAACAGAGCCCAGAAGGCCCGAGGTGTGAGGAACTGGCTACGAGCACTGAGACGAGCACCCAGGTGCAGCCTTTAATGCCTAACCTGGAGGGAACCTGGCAGCCACGATACGAGCCGAGTCTGCATGAGGGAGAAACACGAGCCCCCATGCCGGCCCTTCCGTAGGACAGAGCCTGCCCTGCCAGGAACGACAGACGGAGACCTCGACACCTGCTTATAAACCTGGACCTGTCCAATTCACTGCTGCGCTTTTAGAGGAGAGCACAGCAGTTCCAATGACATACTCACCGCGAGCACGCCATCTTGTCCTCATCCGGGTCCTAAGAGACTCCGGGCAGGCGTGCCCTTCCGGCCGGCGAAGCACTCTGGGAAATGTAGTCTCTTCGGGAATGCGGGAAGGGGATCTGCTCGGCTGCCTTTGGTCGCTGTAACTTGTGCACAGCGTTACTAAAGGGTCGCAGGAAAACAAGTCGGCTGCCCCAAGCACACATTCTTGTCAAGTATTGGCTTTCTTTTAAATGTATGAGGTGCTCAAATGATAGACGGCTTCTTGGTGAGTGAATTAAGGTTTCCCAGGGAAAGAGGCGTTTTCTCAGAGGCTCTCCAAGTGTAATGGGATAGGGCTGGGAAGTTTGAAATGGGAGACCTGGGAGAGGCCCTTTGTGGGGAGGACAGCCTGGAGGAGAGTGGCCAGGTCAGATTAGGCCGTGTTGGTGGAGATTATATGGAATGAAGACACAAGCCACCTATGGAAAATGGAAAATATATATTTACATATTTACACATGTTTCTATATATACATCATTTTGAAAGGATTACAGGGAGTGAGAGATAGGAAAAGAGAGATCTTCCATCCTCTGCTTCACTCCCCAAATGGCCACAAAGGCCAGGGCTGAGCGTGTCTGAAACCAGGAGCTTCTCCCAGGTCTTCCAAGTGGGTCCAGGAGCCTAGGTACTTGGGGACGTCCTCTGCTGCTTTCCCAGGTCCTGAGCAGGGAGCTCCTGTGTGGAGCACCTGGGACCTCAACAAGTGCCCACGCGGGACACTGCAGGCGGAGGCTTTACCCGCGAGGCCGCAGTGCCGGCCCCACAGATTTTATTCTAAACGCAGTAGGGAGGCACTGGGGGATTTTATGGAAAAGAAACGACATGTTATAATTTAGGTCCTTTCTTTTGAAAGGTTAATTTGACTGCCCCTTGAGTAGTTTGGCGAGTGGTGAGAACCTGAACAAGTCTGATGAGGAGGGTATTGCAGTTCCGTAGTAAAGAGATGATGTTGGGCGCACAGATTTGGCCTAGTGATTAGAAGGGCTGGACTGTGAGGAATGATTGGAACATTCCATTTTGGACCTGGTGCCACTTCCTGTGTCCCCTTCCCACGCAATTGGCATTCCAGTTATCCACCAGTGAGATGTAACCTCTTGGCATCTTTTGAGAACCTCACCCACTGATCTCTGGTGGCCTCGCCCCATGCTCCCCACCCACCTGCCTGTGGCTCATCATCTCAGTCACCAATCCCGTGGGACCCACCCACAATCCCTCCCAACCAATTCCCCAGGCCCCTACACCTTCCAGACTCACCTGGGTTGCATAAGATCAGCCTCCACGTGTGCCCCCTCCCCTTCCTTCGCTTTCCTTGGCCCTCCTGCATCTTGCCCCTTTCCCCTGCCCTGCCATGCCACCATGGCAGGAGGCATTTCCTTTTCTGTTCTCTCCCTCTCCATCCCACCTCCTGTTCGTGCCCTGTTGGAATAAAGGACCTCCTAAGCACCTCACTGGGTCTGGCATTTTGGCTTGGTAAACTTATCCTGGAACAGGACTTGGCTGTGGTAATTAGCTATACATAAGAACTTTTAAGTGCACCTAAAAACTAACTTGCACCCCATATCGTAGTATGTGGCTCCTGCAACTGACTGCCACTTCCTGCTAATGCACACTGTGCTATGACTGAATTAGTTGGATCTCCAAGGCTGAATTGAATTACTGGCTCCTGGCTTTACCTTGGCCCTGCCCTGTTACTCTGGGCATTTGGCAGGCGGTATGAATCAAGACATCATTCTCTGTCTCTCTTTCCCCAATCCTTTCAACTAAATATTTTTTAGATGTAAGCTTGTGGTTTTTCTTTAAAATGTTTTATTTTTATTGGAAAGGCAGATCAGATTTACAAAGAGAAGGAGAGGCAGAGAGAAAGATCTTGTATACATTCATTCACTCCCCCAATGGCCTCAATGGCCAGAGCTAAGCCAGTCCGAAGCCAGGAGCCATGAGCATCTTCTAGGTCTCCCACACGGGTGCAGGGTCCCAAGGCTTAAGGCCATCCTCAATGGCTTTCCCAGGCCACAGGCAGGGAGCTGGATGGGAAGTAGGGCAGAAGATGAGAGGATGGCTCACGCAATCGATTCCTTCTCCCCCCAATTTTGGAGAAGTGATTTACATTTTATCTCCATTTTTCAAATAAAAATCTTTCTCTCCTTCTTTCTAATAAGAATAAATAAATCTTTTGGGCCTGACGAGGTGGCCTAATGGCTAAAGTCCTCGCCTTGAACATGCCAGGATCCCATATGGGCGCTAGTTCTAATCCCAGCAGCTCTACTTCCCATCAAGCTCCCTGCTTGTGGCCTGGGAAAGCAGTGGAGGACTAACCAAAGCCTTGGGACCCTGCACCTATATGGGAGACCTGGAGGAAGTTCCTGGCTCCTGGGTTTGGATTGGCTCAGCACCGACTATTGCACTCACTTGGGGAGTGAATCATCGGACAGAAGATCTTCCTCTGTGTCTCTCCTCCTATCTGTATATCTAAATTTCCAGTAAAAATAAATAAATCATTTTTTTAAAAAAATAAATCTTTTAAAAACTAAAAGATGCATTTATTTTGTTGCAAAAATATTTCAAATGAAATCATGTATAGGTTTTTTTTTTTTTAAGTTTTAGGAGATTTTATCCTTTTCTGTAATTTGCTTGTTTTCATCTTATTTATTCACTGATTTACTTCTCAGATGTCCTGCCACAACGAGGGCCAGCCAGGCTGAAGCCAGGAGCCTGAGGCTCAGTCTGGGCCTCCTGTGGATGGGGGATCCTCTGCCAGCCAGGGTGCGCGTTAGCGGGAAGCTAGAATTGGAAGTAGAGTCAGAACTCAGGCATTTCTGAAATGGGGTGCTGTGTCCCAAGCAGCAGCCTCATGGCTGCATCTAAAGCCTGTCCCCGTAGGGGTTTTTTGTTTGTTTGTTTGTTTGGTATGCCTTTTCCATGAAATTTTGAAGACACTTTGTGTCTATGTTATGATAATGACCAAAATGTATTGGACACATCGTGTGTCCTACTGTAAAGGCAGTTCTGTGGTGGAGCTGGTTCTCCTATCCCCTTTCCACACCAACCTTTATGAGTTTTCTTTTTGTTCACATGAGCATATACATACATGTACACAGGCATGCATATTTCCTTTTTACAAAACTGCACACACACGTTTTTCCTGTTACCAATGTGTAATGTCATGCTCTGTATTTTTTGATTTTTGTGCATGGTTGCTGACTCTATCCTTTTAACCCTTCTATTTCCTAAGCGATGTGAATAATATTGAAGCACTGAAGGCCCGTAAACGAGTCAGTCTCTCTCTCCCTGCCCCCGTGCTGCTCTCCTGGTTATGCTCCTCTTCCTCCCCGAGACAATCCCAGAAATGAGAATTTCTCTGTCTCAAGAGGATGGAAACGAATCATCCCCTGCCTTGCTGACTTGGGGCACGCCCAGAAAGTCTGCCAGTGATGAGCACGCCCTTGCACAGGGTCTGGCCCCAGAGTTCCCATGCTGGAAGGAGTGCAGCACAGAGAGACCCCCCAAGGATGCCTGGCTGGTGTCCCGCTCCTTGTCTAGGAGCATGGCATGGCATTCTTTTTGTCCCCACACAGGGGGGACACGGTTACCCATGCCTCAGATTGCCTCAGCAATAAAGTCTCCATAGGGACAGGGTTTAGAGAGTATCGGGGGAATGACATCAGGGAGGGCCCTTTGGGTTTGCTGCAGGATTCAGTGGCAGCAAGTAAGCACAATGCCTGGCTAAGCACTTGGGCAGTGCCGGCTCTGGTTATGCTTTGAACCATCCTCTGTTGGTTTCACAGCCCATTAGCAGAGAGCTGGATGGGAAATGGAGCAGCCAGAACATGAACTGTGCCTTTATGGGATTCCAGCACTTACAGGTGGGGGATTACCCCTTGAACAATTACACTGGTCTCCCTAGTTCTCAATCCTATAAATAGGATAAAAATGCTTATAAATTGAACTTCAAAACCTTAAAGAAAATTATATCTCCAAGTTTGAACAGGATTTGGCTCCCCAAATTTATGCAAATATTGAAGCCCCAAAGTCTTACTGATCAATGCATTACTGTTTTTTTTTTTTTTCAAGGATGCAGACAAGCTAATCATGGCATCTGAGAGGTGAGACTAGTGGGCGGTCCTCAGGGCCATGTTCTTTTTTAAAGATTTATGTTATTATAGTAAAGTCAGATATAGAGAGAGGAGGACAGTCAGATAGGAAGATCTTCCGTCCGATGATTCACTCCCCAAGTGAGCGCAACGGCCAATACTATGCCGATCCGAAGCCAGGAGCCTCTTCCGGGTCTCCCACACGGGTGCAGGGTCCCAAAGCTTTGGGCCGTCCTCCACTGCTTTCCCAGGCCACAGGCAGGGAGCTGGATGGGAAGTGGAGCTGCTGGGATTAGAACCCGCGCCCATATGGGATCCCGGGCGTGTAAAGCGAGGACCTTAACCACTTGCGCCACCGTTTGAACCATCATGTTACTGCTGAACAAGTATTATGGTGCTGTGTGCTTTAAAGGAGTGTATTGTGTAGCTACGAATTTAGATAAACAGATTATTACAAGTGTCGGCCAGAATAAGATGGCAAGGTGTTTTGACAGGGAGAGGGAAAGACTTCATGGAGAAGGATGAGAAATCAGCAGGCAGGTGGAGTGGGAAGCCACGAGTGAAAAGGCAACAAGTTGTGAAAATTATAGTGTGAGAGGCGGACTGTAAGTATGAGCTAGTATATACCATCCCAAGTAACTGTGGGAGTGCCAAGTGAGACCTCAAGGGCTGCTGTCAGGCAATTAAGTCAGACAGTAAAAAGCAGATGCAGCAAATATACCTTTTGTAATCCAAGTGTGAATCAAGTGACTTTGTGACCACATGGTAGCTTTCTGCTTAGTGAGATTCAAAGTGGTGAACCGGGCCTGTTCAGCCTTGTCTTTTTCTTGTGTTTCTCTCTGGTTTTCTCCTTTCTCTGCATTTCTCTCTTCTTTTCTTTGTTTCCTCCACCATTTCCTTCCCTGTTCTCCCTTATCCTGGAATACT